TACTTAACGTGTAAATACCTTGCTTTTGTTAACTTAGAACCACACTCACAACCAATCGCAATAAATTCCCGCAGCCAGCCTCGTCGTCATCGCAATAATCAAGGCAGGGAGTAGGCATATCCGATAGACGCCTTGTTACAAAATGAACGTCCCTTGTAACGGCACGCAGATTGCATATCTATCCATAGGATCACGACACAGCCGCCACGCAATGGAAACGACACTCTAGCTAGTCTACAGCGAGCCTGACATACACAACATATTATCACAGAAAGCCGTTACTCTGATGATAATTCCAGTAGGGTTTAGCTGGCGCGTAATGGATCTGCGAAGGCAGAGGAGCTGGGGTCCAGCCATCTTAATACGCTATTGATATTATTATATCTCTGCTTTTATATAATTGGCAGCATACACAGGGAGCACGTGAGAGCAATTTCACTATACAGGCGAGGCAGATGAAGAGTGTATTCGGTAACAAGGTGCATACGACACGCCTGAGCCACCAGCGCAAGCAAGCAACAAGGGTATACCTTATTCTATCTAACAGCAAGCAGACCATTATAGCCCGTCTATCCAGATTCAAATGCAGGAGCCTGTGCGGCGTGCCGCCGAGCGAAACTAGTAAATATATGTAACACGTCTTTCGGGCAAACCCGCCATCGCACCTGGGAGACTGAGATGCTGTAGTATACCTGTACCGCGGAAGCAGCATCATCTCACGTAACAAAGGATGAAGAACATGATTAGCATCAGCAGCATCAGTACCACCGGGCAGCAGATGAACAGCTGCACGACTGCCATACAATTAGTGCATGCGTGCATGCATGCATAACGGAGGTAGACCATCTGGAAGGCGACTAGCTCAGCATGAATATATAATAACTGTCACCTGAACTCAAGGCTGCAAATAGTAATGGCTGTACACGCCTTAATCAATACTGGCAGAAGCCACCACCCAGCTATATAATATATACAGATAGGTAGGCCTACACACGGGTATATACATCTATATACAGCTATATACAGATAGGTAGGCCTACACACGCGGGTATATACATCTATATACAGCTATATGCAGATAGAGACAGGTACACACGGGTATATATAGCTGTATAAAGCTACACACAGCGATATATACAGCTACACACAGGCATATACAAGGATATACAGGTATATACAGCTATATACATGTATATACAGCTATATACATGTATTACATCTATATACAGCTACACACAGGCATATACAGGGATACAGTAATAACCCGCGTATAAGAACATAGATTTTTCCAAGTTAGCCTCAACATGTTCTTATATAAATGGTGCTTACTGAACAATTAGGTTCAAAAGGTTCTTAATAGGTTCTTAATTGTTTCTACTTTTAATATGTATAAGATTATACTTGATTCAAATTGTGTTAAAATTTTCTTACAAGAACTGCAATTTTTTGCTAATTAATACCCATGATGGCTACAGTGTAAGTTTTTCAGTGCTTACCATACTGTATGATACAGTATGTATCCAAGGAAACAAAACAACATGCAAAATTAAGATGCGTGTTTCTTTTTAAGTCTTCATCTGCATGAAAAATTAAGAACCTACTTTAAAATCTTAGCCTAAAACAGGTTCTTATGTAAAGGGGTCTAAATGGGAAATTTTAGCCTAACATGTTCTTAAATCTATGTTCTATAACGCGGCGTTATACTGTATACAGGGATATACAGCTATGTACATGTATATACATGTATATACAGCTACACATAGGCATATACAGGATATACAGGTATATACAGCTATATACATGTATATACATCTATATACAGCTACACATAGGCATATACAGGGATATACAGGTATATACAGCTATATACATGTATCATCTATATACAGCTACACATAAGCATATACAAGGATATACAGCTATACACATGTATATATATATAGTATATATATATATATATATATATATATATATATATATATATACAGCTACACACAGGCATATACAGGGATATACAGCTATATACATCTATATACTCTATATACGCGCTACACATAGGCATATACAGGGATATACAGCTATATACATGTATATACATGTATTATAGAGCTACACATAGGTATATACAGGGATATACAGGTATATACATCTATATACATGATATAATACATGTATATACATCTATTATACAGCTACACACAGGCATATACAGGGATATACAGGTATTCACAGGTTTATATACATATACACAAGTATGTAACGGTAGCCACACTATCTGTCAACAAGGTGATACTGCCAACCAAACACGTACAGGAACAGGCACTCACAGGTAGGTATAATCACGTACAGGTATGGGTGATTATAGGTAGGTAATCAGGTCGCGTGACGACACCACTGCAGTGGCGCTGGCGCTCCCGCGCTGTTTGATGGATCACCTTCATTACACTTCTTCATCAGCGTCATTACTGGTAGCAGTAGATGGATTATATATATATATATATAGTATATATATATATATATATATATATATATATATATTATACACTCTTACGTGTCACACTCTAGCCGGCTACCGTTCTCCCCGTACCACTACAATAACCCCACATATATATTATATATAATATATATATATATATATATATAATATCAGAAGTAACTAGAAAAACAATGTTTAATTAATAATAGAAGCAAATATAATTTGTCTTTATTCACTCATGCTAATACACCTAGCCAGGCTCTAATTTCGTTTTAGGTCTCTCTAGACATTTTCTACGGATAATTCGCACGTGAATTAACTAAGTGGACAATTAGAGAGACGGTATTTGAAGGCGAGAGACTGACACATGCGTGTGATGATGTGTGTGTCATGATGTCAACCGTTACTTCTGTCGCCTTCAAACAGAGATTCTTAAAATTAGCCCTAAAGTAAGAAAGAAACCTATAGTACTTTCACACCACCTACACAACTACACTCATGCACACACGTACATACCACAGACGTATATGCACGTACAGCCCACGCACGCACACAGCCGCACACCACACACGCACGCATGCGCATATTATTATTATTAAATCTTTATTGCATGAATTCAGATACAAATACATGTACTGACGACAGTTTTTTCCATGGAGAAAAAATCTGATAAAAGCAATAGTGTTGAGTAGTTAAAATGCGCGACATTATTGATCAGTGGCGTTGACAGGTCCTCAGTTGTGTGTGTGGGGGGGATAATTTCGCTGTTACTTACATCGCAAAGTATAGGAAGAGTGTGTGCGAGTAGCGCACACCGCGAGCGCCTTGGCGCGAAGCCCTTAACGGGCGGGGTGCAGGGGCCCGCCGCCGCCCTTGCCCGGGATCCAAGAAGCGGAGCCCCCGGAAGCTCTTGGATTTTAGCAATTTAGAACCTTCAAGACGGCCGTTTTTGAGGGAATTAAAAAAAAAATTGAAATTTAAAAGCAATAAATTTTGGACATCCTTATCAAAAAATATCAGGAGATTTTTCCTCCTTCAGGGGGGTGTCCTCCTCCTGTTTAGAGCTGTATAGGGGGGGGGGGACCTACCCCAGAAATTTTGTTGAAAATAACACCTCTTCGATGCAATTTCCTGCACTCTGAGACAGCATTATTAAACAATCTTCATCCCAATAATATTACTGTTGAGTTGAGTATTTTTATCTTGGGGGACACCACACTTACTACAGCAGCACTTACTACGTGAGCAGTGATAAGACGTGCTTTGGAAATTTTGAAAAAAAAAATATGGGGAATGCGTCCAAAATTAACCGTCTGAGTTTCAGTAAAATAATGTCATTCTTGGAACAAGTTACAGACAATTTACAGTAGATGTAGGTCACTTTCCATTTGTGTAATAATACATTAGGAGAGTATGGATAGCGATGACGAAGTTGTAGATAAATGTTCAGTATTTATTGTCTCTATAATATGAAATTTTTCCCCATTTATTTTCCTCCTGAAAGTAGGGCGGGGGATCCGATGATTGTACACGCCATCCCCCCACCTCAATAAGTGGGGGGATGTATCCCCCCATCCCCCCGCTATCTACGCCCCTGGTATTGATTATATAATGACACTATGTAGGATAAAGCAATCTCTTCGTGGCCTGTAAACCGACCGCAGGGACCAGTACGGGGACCGGATGCCTGCACGCATGGCGCGTACACGCACCCTCTCATCACCAGCCTGACTATTATTTCTCCTCCCTATAATTTAGAAACGCCGGTTCCCATACCAACCGTTACAGGTTTCCTGCACCACCAAATTCCGAACGCCCTCAAAACCGAATCTCACGTTGAAGCGGACGATTTCTTTTTAAGTTTTACGTCCTAACACCATCTGAGACATGTAAGATATGCCTGGAATAGATAGGCCCCCTATAAACCTAACTTCACAGAAAACCGAACTAAGTGGCCGGTTCCGAGGGTGGTCGGTATTGGGAGATTTAACTGTATATATATTTAATATGTTCGCGGGAATACTTGGGTACGGACGTCCCAATGCCATCAATCTACACAGCTATATAAATCTATTCGTGACCTAGTACCACTTAATTATGCCCACGCTGGTTGCTTGGAAACAGAATCAATAGCTCGATGTACGGTCGGCGCAATGTTACGGCATGGCACCGCAAATTATAATTAGTTCTATGTTGAAATAACGTGAAAAGGACTTTGTCTCGTTGGTGGCGAATCCATAGCGATGAGGTGCTGTGTGTGTGTGGAGAGAGAGATGCAGAGATAGATAGACAGAGCGAGTGAGAGAGAATGAAAGAGCGATAGAGAGAGACAAGAGAGGGAAAACAGAAGAGAGAGAGAGAGAGAGAAGGAGAGGGAGAGAGAGAGAGAGAGAGAGAGAGAAGAAGAGAGAGAGAGAGAGA